CAGAGAAAAAACTTCTTTCTCAGTAAATGGGGGGAAATATGAATTCCGCAGATTACCGTTTGGCCTCAAAAATGCAGGCAGCATTTTTCAGAGGGCCATCGACGACATCCTACGGGAACAGATCAACAAGTTCTGCTATGTTTACGTTGACGACGTAATCATTTTTTTAAAAAGATGAAAACTCTCACATCAAGCACGTTGATTGGGTTCTTAAGAGCCTGTACGATGCGAACATGAGAGTATCGGTAGAAAAATCTAGCTTTTTTAAGAAAAGTGTAAGTTTCCTTGGGTTTATAGTCACTTGTAACGGTGTCACAACAGACCCAGAAAAGGTAAAGGCTATAAAAGAATTTCCGGAACCCAAAAGTGTTTTTGAGGTACGATCATTCAATTCAATATCGATGTTTCATTAAGGACTTTGCAGCAATAGCGAAGCCTATATCGGACATCTTGAAGGGGGAAAACGGAACAGTTAGTAGACACAGGTCACGAAACATTCCGGTTCAGTTTTCTGAGGCGCAACAACAAGCGTTCCAGAAACTACGAAATATCTTGGCGTCCGACGACGTGATGCTAAGATACGCCGACTACAAAAAGGCGTTTGATCTAACGACAGATGCCTCGGCCTATGGCATTGGTGCAGTATTGTCCCAAGAGGGTCGGCTTATAACAATGATCTCAAGGACATTGAAGGACAGGGAGGTCAACTACGCCACAAACGAAAGGGAACTCTTAGCCATAATTTGGGCACTGGCCAAGCTGCGAAACAATTTATATGCAGTAAAAGATATAAACATCTATACTGACCACCAGCCATTTACATTCGCAGTATCGAAATCCAATCCGAATGCTAAAATCAAACGATGGAAAGCTCGCATCGACGAGTCCGGTGCTAAAATGTTTTATAAGCCCGGCAAGGAGAATCTCGTCGCGGATGCCCTCTCCAGACAGCAACTTAACGTTGTGGAGGCGGAAGAAGCTTATTCGTGTGCGGCCACTATCCACAGTGAAGTCTCGCTCACACACACCATCGAAGCAACGGAGAAGCCGTTGAATTGCTTTCAGAACCAGATAACTCTGGAGGAAGCACGCTTTCCGTCTAAACGCAGCTTCGTGCTCTTTGGAAATAAGAGACGGCACAACATTAACTTCACGTGCATGGAGTCTCTGCTTGAGGAACTCGCGGACACCATAGTCCCCAAGGGCGTAAATGCCATACATTGCGATCTGCATACGCTAGCAATGATACAGGATAAATTGGTCCGGCAATTCCCAGCCACCAAATTCTGGCATTGCAAAAACCGAGTGACAGCCGTTTTTGCAATTGTGGAGATACGGGAAATCATTACTGCCGAGCACATCAGGGCACACAGATCGGCACAGGACAATGTCAATGTTTGGTTTCCGGAAGGAAAAAAGCACCATTGACGCGATCCGAGCGGTCACCCAACTGGCTGCTAAGGCAATTGAAGGAGAAAGGTGGATAGGCGGCTCAAAAGAGTCCTGCCTCGTATGCACTCTGGATGTCAAGAATGCATTTAACTCTGCCAACTGGAACCTTATCCTGCGAGCGTTTCGGCTAATGGGAATTTCTGACTACCTTACCGACCTCGTAGCGGACTACTTCAAGGACAGAGTGCTCACATACTCTTCAGACATCGGAGAGCATGAGTACCAGGTGACAGGAGGAGTACCTCAAGGCTCAGTCCTGGGCCCGATTCTGTGGAACGCCATGTACAACGGGATCCTAAGGCAGGCACTACCCGAAGGATGCACCGTAGTGGGCTTTGCGGACGATATAGCGCTGGTAACAGTAGCTAAAACCCTCGAAGAGGCCACGGTAAGGTGCAGCCTCTCCATAGACATCCTTATGAGATGGCTCGCAGAAAACGGGCTATCGCTTGCCGAGCACAAAACGGAGGCAGTGCTCATAAGCAGCAGGAAGATTGTTGAGAAGGCCACAATTCGAGTCGGATCAACCTTAATAGCATCAAGCGACCCAATCAAGTACCTAGGGGTAATGATCGATCACAGATTATCGTTCAAGACCCACCTAGCTTATGCAGCAGCCAAAGCGTCCAGATCGACTGCATCCATCTCAAGGATGATGGCCAACACCCGAGGACCAAAGCAGCACAGCAGAAGGATAATAGCCACAGTGGTGACCTCGACCATCCTGTACGCCGCGCCCATATGGGCCGAGGCTATGAAGACCGCAACATATAGTCGCCAGTGCAAAGCTGTCTTCAGACGCTGCGCACTGCGCATCACAAGCAGCTTCTGCACGGTGTCGGAGGAAGCCGCACTAGTGATAGCCGGTACAATACCGATAGACCTCCTGGCGGCAGAACGAAGGACAGGATGTACAGGAAGTAGGACCCAGCGCAGCAGCACGATAGAGGCTTGGCAAAGGAGGTGGAACAGTGCGAGCACAGGACGGTGGACGCACAGGTTAATCCCCAGTCTAATCCCTTGGCTGCAGAGAAGACACGGGCAGGTAGATTTCTACCTCACACAGATGATCTCCGGGCACGGATGCTATAAAGATTACCTGTACAGGTTCAAGCACGAGCCGAACCCCTGCTGCGACCACTGCGGCACCGCAAGCATCCAAGACGCGGAGCACGCATTCTTCATCTGCCCCCTATACGCGAGGAACCGAGCCGAAGCTGAATTAAGAACCGAGCGTTTCCTGACAGTGGATAATATTATCAATTGCATGCTGGAAAACCAAAGGAACTGGGATGCGGTAGCTAATCTGGCCGCTGGCATCCTAAAGGACTTAAGGCGTCGAGAACAGAGTCGACGCAACCAGCAATAAGGACGAGCGGCAACCTGACTGCCATCCGTCCCGCGAAGTATAGCTTTGCGGTGGTCCCGCGGGAACGGAACTTTTCTACTTCTTCTTCTTCTGTCTTTTGTATCTCTTCTGTATATATTTAAGCTTTTCTTAATAAAAAAAAAAAAAAAAAGAGTGTCAAGCAGGTGCTCTCCGAATATTATTTTCCTAAAATGACTAAATTAGCCAACGAAGTTGTCCAAAACTGCAAGACCTGCGCGAGGGCAATTGCAACATGTGACCAGTGTTTAATATATTGTATTGGTTTTATTGACCTTGCACCTATTGATCTGCTTCGTTTGTCCTGACATCCACTTGGGCCAGCTTAACGATTGGTCTGGTAAGCAGCCCATTCATAATTTTGATAACTTTCATCACACTCGCACTCCCGAGGAATTAAATCCAGGGCTCAGATAGGTTCTTGGTTTTGTCTATGCTCAATTTATTTGATGTATTTAATGTATATTTGCAAAACTTCTGATCTGAGCCAAAGAAAAGTTTTAGATGTTCAGCTGCTGTACCCAGAGATAACTGAAGAGTCTGCGGTGACGTGCAGACGAAACTAGCGCTAGTCCTATCTGAGTCCGGGGATCAAAAAGTTGAGTTATACAGATTTATAACCAACTATGAACAAGTGTTTGTAACTTACATTAATGTATACAAAATACAAGGTCCATAAAACCACAAACCATACAACATCTAGACTACCCTTTCATACAACGAAAATGGACTTAAAAATTTCTTAGCGGGCCCCACAAGCTCTTAGCAGCAGGCCCCGGCGCTTCATTTACAATCGGGTTTTTTGCTCTGTCATTCTTATTCTCGTTTTTATTCACTTCCGAATGAAAACTGGAACTGTATATATCGGAAAGCAGATCGCTTTCAAATAGACAATACATTTAACATTCACACACTACATAAACTTTAACGACAAAAGCTACAAAGCTTCTGATCAAGAGCTTAAGAGAAGTTTTAGACGTTCAGCTGCTATACCCAGAGATAACTGAAAAGACTGTGGTGACGTGCAGGCGAAATAAGCGCTAGTCCTATCTGAGTCCGGGGATCACTCACTAGGGACTGCTAGTGTGATAACAGTTATCAAAAAGTTTTGTTGTAAAGGTATATAACACACTAAGACCTCGAGTTTTTCACTTCGACTTATGTATAGAAAATATATTCCTCAATATTTACCGAATAATTCCAAATATGTAACTAGTATAGTTAAAAAACGGTCATACAAAATTGATGTAAACGTATTTCATAAATTATTCATTCCCGAATTACAGTGTGTCCGTATATCATTTAGAATTTAATTTGGTTCCTAAGTTCAAAAACTTTCAAAGAATTCAAGTATGTCCGTCTATCGTTACTAATATATCTGCAATTCAAAACAATTATACAAAAACATCAAATTAATTAAATTTCGAGTCCAATATCTACAAATTAAATTATATCAACTCTTCGTCACCTACCAACTACTGCTTCCGCGCAGCTTGGGATTACCTAATTAAGCGTTTCGACATTATTTCATATCTAATACATTGTGCGAGAATCTGCAGCAGTCTTAAAAAATCTTCAAAACACCATACAAGGTTGTTTTACATCCCTAGAAATTCGGACTGAAGGTTTAGAAAGCTCACGATCGTATTATGGGAGCAGTCCTTAAAACCGACTGGTTCGGACCTTTTTTCATTCCTGACTGAGTGCTATAAAACCTAGAGGTCGTTGATGTCATCCAATCTACCAATTCGATTTACCTTCAGCGCAAAGAGACGACTTCCGAAGACTCTCCAAAAATAGTTGCAATACCCAAAGGATAAGATTTGTACTCTAGTGAGAACCATCCTGTTCGTTAATGTATAAGCTTCCAACAAATAACTGTTAACAATCGGTTAACAGTTGTGTACAAATTGCTCCATTCACTTGGAAATTGTTCCACACACAATGACTTCATTTTCATCCAATTAAATTTTGGAAAAATTCACTCAATGTTTTAAAAATACAATTTTTTTTTATTTTGAACCTCAAAAACATACGAACGGATTTATTTTTGGTACATTTTTTTAACCATCACCTGGATACACTTTTTGGGCATTTAATAACAGGAAGGCTACTTTCCTTCCTAAATTTCTTTATATATAATATTAATTGTAAAACTTACTTGACTTAAAAGATTTAATATTACATCTCCATCGAATTGCTCCAAGCAACACAGTAATTGAGGTATCCATGGTAGCCAGTAAGAGGGTGGAATTCCAGGCACATATTTTTCCAAAGTGCTAATAAGGGTTTTTGTATGGTTATCATATGACATAAACCATAACACTTTAGCAATATATTTTCTGGTTTTGCTTTCAATTTGGTTTCTACTTGCATGTAAATAACATATTAATGCATTAGCAGCCAGTGAGATTTGCTTTTCTTTTAGAAAAAGTTGTTCCATATAATCGCCCCACATAGCCCAGGCTTTCGTAAGACCATCATGAAGCTGTGCAGCAGCACTAAAAGATTTTCCAGCTTCCTCTGTTTTTCCAATTTGACCTAACAAAAGCCCTTTTAGAGCATAGAACTCAGCATTCATTTCACCAGTAAAGTATTTTAAATTGGTGGACTCAATAACTTCCAAAGCTTCATTAATTTCATTTTTTCCAGACGTTGAAGGCATTTGGAGATAACATTTTACTTGCTGACGAATTTTCTGCGAAGAAAATTAAAAAAAAATAAATAAATTGTGTTGGTTTTTTAAAACACCCGAAAATACAAAAAAAGCCTTTGGTCAAGTTCCATGAGTCTAAGATACCCGATACTTACTGGTCATTTAAAGACTCCTTACATTCCTGAACATTAAAATATTTTAATACATTTTTTTATTGATAATTTTTTGAAAGTAGAAAAGTCGCCATAAAAAGCGAATCTTTAAAAAAGTTGTTCCATATAATCGCCCCACATAGCCCAGGCTTTCGTAAGACCACGCCGTAATAGTTGCTTAATGCAAGTAAAAGTATGTATTTACTAGACACAAGCAGAAAAAGGTTCACACACAAAAGGAATGTCTCAGCTTTTCGAATTTACCGGGCATGCGAGCTTAAATCCCAATTGCTTTTATCACCTTTTTTTTGATCGAGCTGAGTAGCTTAGCGATTTCATCGCTAAAGAATTTGATTGGCTACGTTAAAGTAAGTGTTATTTCCTTTTTTTATATGTGTTGTCATAAAGACGCGGAATCAAAGTCGAGAACAAACCTTTCATCATGTGTGGTTGGTCCACGGTTATATGTGTTCGGGTGACACAATTTTTATACATATTTATTTTCCTTATGCTAGGAATGTATAATCATTTAAGATTTGTATTTCTTGTGCGCCTTTTCCAACACTGTGCTTACCCAGCAACCAGCTGACCCAAACGGCTCACCGAGTCCAGCAGGTGGCTTCCACCGGTAACGGGACGGCTAGAGCTGGACACCCACACACGACCCATATGGACCTCAAACAGGACTGTAGGCAACAACTGTAGGCAAACATGTCAAAACTGACAACAGCTGGAGAGAGTACTACTCAAAACTTAGCTTATACAAAAAAGAATTTAGAATGGCCAGTAAACAGAAAGCATTCATCCGAGGTAGACGTGATTCCGATCACTCCCCCGAGCTTATTTAAAAATAAAAACACACCAATAAATAGCGAAAAGATGCTGGCAGCAATGCCAAACAACAAGGGCTCGGCTCTCTTCCCTAACAAATCTAATAACAAATACAAAGATTTAAATACATTAAACGTTATTGAAAAGTGCCAAAAGCAAGCCAGTGAGTCAAAGTCGTGTACAACAACAACAACAGCAAGACGCGCGTCGACTGTCTTCGCTTCAACTGTCTTTGTCTTCGAAAAATAATGCATACCTAGCAATTGTCTTATCGGAGACAGTAAATAACTCAACAACAAGTGCAAAGTCGCCGCCCGGTCGGTCTCTTTCCCCAACACTATTTACCAACGCATTTGCGCTGCTCCAACGCAGTCATGGAGTTCGCAATGCCCTTCCCCACCTTCCACCTATAGACGCACCGACTACATCAGCTTGTGCGCTCACTAATACGGTGCCCTCATTACCAACTGTCGTATCTACTACAACAAGAACAACTTCAACATCGACCATTGGTGGCCGATTTTGGCATCGCGAGCAAAACTAGCTTATGCTGCAGATCTCTCACAATTTACCCTTGAACAGACTGGGATCGATCGGTATGTACAAATAAAAAGAAAACTTAGTCGCAAAAGGAGCAAATTTGCCTAAACTTACGAAAACTTCAAACAACACCACTAAGGCAACTTCTGAAAACAATTTTGCCATACTTGGCGTGCTCGAAAAAGATGATGGTCAACCACCCCAAGCCAATAAAATTGTAAAGCCACCACCTATGTATGTTAGAGATCAAAATTGTTCAGATCTAATTAATAAACTTAAGCAAAAAATTGGGCAAAACCACTTTTAGATTACTATTTTAAAAAGAGGTAACATATCTGAAACCAAGCTCCAGATCACCAATGAAGCCAACTACCGCTCTGTAACAAACTTCCTGGACAGTGAGCGTGTTAATTATTACACCTACCAACTCAAAAGTAGCAAAGGACTTCAAGTTGTAATAAAGGGTATCGAGTCAACCGTCCCGGCAGCTGATATAGCTGAAGGACTTAAAGAAAATGGTTTTGAAGTTAAAAACGTAATGAACATAACCAACAGGGCAGCCTCAGTCACTCTTCAAGATTGAACTCAAACCAGACGCGACTACCCTGAAGAAAAACGCAGTGCACCCCATATAGAAACTGCATCGAAGAATAACCGTATAGGAGCCGCATAAACGAAACGGCCCGGTACAGTGTACAAACTGCCAGGAGTTTGGGCACACAAAAAGTTATTGCACTTTGCGACCAGTCTGTGTTGCCTGTGGCGACCTGCACTGTATAGAAGTTTGCACGGGTAACAAAGAAATACCCACCAATGAGAAAATGTAGCAACTGTGGTGGAAACCACACTGCTAATTACAGGGGATGCCCCGTCTATAAAGAGATCAAGAGTCGGCTCAACCAGAGGCGCCAACAACCAACCTCCGCCCAACAGGTTGCTCAGCCAAATTTTTACATTCCTTCGCAAACCACTCCTGGAGTTACTTTTGCGGCTGCACTGCCCGAAGCATTACAGCCCCACCCGCATATACCAAAACCAAAATATACTCCGCTTCCAGAGCAAAACGCTCAAAGACCAACTCAACCTTATAACCAACAAAACCAGACTTTCACTCCACAAATACAAAACAGCATCGAAGCTAATTTAGCTACACTCACGTACATCATGCTTTCAATGCAAGGTATCCTCCATGAACTAGTGCGAAACCAGAACCACCTTATGGAACTTCTAATCAAACAAAAGTCAACTTAAATGGATCCCTTGAAAATATGCTTTTGGAACGCTAACGGTACTTCGCAGCACAGACTTGAACTTCTACAGTTCTTAAACACCCAGGACATCGATATCATGCTCCTCTCAGAAACGCACCTAACCAATAAAAACCATTTCTATTTCGCTGGCAACATCTTCTATGCGAGCAACCCCCAGACGGCAAAGCTCACGGAGGCACCGGAATTCTTATCATACAGCGCATTAGGCATCACCCTCTGGAGGCGTTTGCTTACAACCACAAACAGGCCACTTCTCTACGAATCAACGGCTGTGTATTGTCCCCTACGATTTAATATTTCAGAGAATGAATTTTTAGGCTTTTACAACTCATTGGGTAACTGTTTTATAGCTGCCGGTGATTATAATGCGAAACACCACTACTGGGGCTCTCGACTTATTAACCCCAAGGGACGCCAATTATACAATTGGCAGGCACACCGCTTCCCAGCCTCTAAACAAAGGTTTAAAGAAGCTTGTCGGAAGTTGTCTAAAGCTTTACTAACTGAAAAGAATCAGACTCAACGTGCCTATATAGCGCAACTTTCAAATTTCAACTCTGGAGAGCGCACCCAAACATTCAACCACCAATAGAACCCGATTTTCCAATTCGATCACCAACAGGTGGGTGGGCCCGTAGTGACAAGGAAAAGGCCAACATATTCGACTCTTACTTAAGAAATGTCTTCCAACCTCATTCGCCGACAAACCAATTCACTTTACCAAACATCTCATCAGCGGAGCCTTCCTCCACAATAATTCTTGAAACAAGCACAATCATAAAAGCCATTGCAGAACAGATGAATCCAAAAAAAGGCTCTGGCCATGATTTAATTTCGCCTAAAATGATAATTAAATTGCCTCTATGCGCAGTCAAAAGCATAACCACTAATTCAACTCAATTTGTAAATGGGGCTATTTTCCTACACATAGTAATCATCCAACGAGTACAGTCGAAGATACTGCGAACAATAACTGGGCCCCCTGGTATATTCGGACCGCAAAGATCCACAGGGAGCTGGATATAAAACCCGTTAAGGAATTAATTGATAGTAAAGTTTCGAAGTACGAAGCTAGACTATCAATACATCCAAACCAACTGGCCAGGCAGCTCAGGCGGCTCAGTAACCACTCTCGGTTACAGCGCAACGACCGCCCACTCCTGCCCAACTTAGGGCCATTAACCAATTAACAATTATAATACAGTATAGGTTAAGATTTGAATACTTATTGTAAGTCTCTTCTAGAGAAGATTCAAATAGAACGTATAAATAAAAAAAACAAGAAAGAAAGCAAACTTCGGCAAGCCGAAGTTCATATACCCTTGCAGCTATTGCAAGAATTAAACATTTTTGAAAACTAGTTGGTTTTGGCGACCTTTCCAAAGTATATTAATTGTTAACCGGCTCGAGGTCAGGATGTTGAGAAACTAACACCATTTTTTAATTTTCGTTATTTGTCAATATATTTCGGATGCTCTTCGGCAACTGTCTTCAGGACAACTATAAAATAATAACAACGATTTTTATTTTCTTAACAAACAGAAAACAATTTACATTTGACATACATTTAATTTACACGTCTGCTTCCGGTGAAGTGGAGTTGTTAACTAATTTTTTTCTTCCCTAGTAAATGTCTATATAAATGAGCGCAATTGCCAGTGTCCGTTTTGTAGTTCATCCGTATGTCTGTAGGTGTTTTTATGATATGTAGCATTTTTATGGTAAATAGATTAGCATAGTGTTGTTCTTGTGATAAGATACTCGCCTCTTCGAAGTTCGGAGAGTGATTATTCTTGGAACAGTGGGACATGGACTATCTTAGATTTTGTTCTGTTGTATATAGATTTTAATGTGTGGTCCGGTTTATGTGCGATACTTATGTTTTCTTTGTCGTAGCATTCCGATTTCGCTACACGTTCGGATAATGCCGGGACCTTGACATTGATATATATTTTTTGTTTTTATTGCTTTTAACGCAGTTTTGTTTTGTTGTTTTGTGTTCCGATAATAATGTTTTCAGTATGTGTTTTGGGAAATCATTGTCTGTTAACATTGATTTTATCTCCTGAGTCGTCTCTTCGTGGTAATCCGTGCCTGAAATTTTGAGCATTCTCTGTATACAGCTTCTAGCTGTATTTATTATCATTTGTTTTGGGTGTTAAAATTGATGATTCGTCCGGACGCAATTGGTTTCTTGTACCATTTTAATTTTAATCTGTTTCCACGTCGAATTATTACTGAGTCCAAA